GCAGATAGGCAAACCCATAGAAGGCAAAGTGAACCCCAAGGGCCTTGCTCCCCTTCCAAGCGCAGGTCTCAAAACACAGTGAGTGGCTCACTGGCTACACTGTTTGCTGTGTTTCGAGTGGACGGCACACAGGAAGCATAGGCTACCCCGAGGCTCTCCTCCCTTGGTCACTTTCCTGAAGGAGCAGCCCAGTAGAATCTGCTTTTCAAATCCTGGCTCTGCCATCCTTAACCAAGCAGGTCCTCCCACCTGCAGAGCCAGGCACATCTTCAGTTTTGCCTGAATGTTGTAAAATCTGCCTTTATTTACTGCCTTCTTTCTCTTTTATCAGCTAGTCATTCCTACCTTCTTCATTATTGTCTTTATCATTTGGTAATATTACAGCTTTTTGTTTTGTTTTCCTCTTGTTTGACTCCTCAAGTTATTCTGGAAAAACATGAACATCACTCTTCTGAGCCTCTGGACCTGGTCCCTGGGCTTTGATGTGCAGGTTAGGAATCCTGCCATGCTCTCCTGAACTTGACTCCATGGCCACAGTGGCCTGGCTGATTTATGGCTGTTTCTTCCCATGTTTGATCTTAGCAAACAGACAGCTGTGATGAAGCAGCTTCATTCTTCTCACCTGCTGGCATCTTCATGTTTGGTCTAATAGGTTGTTAACTGCTCTGAGGACAGGCACTGCCCTTCCTGGCTACCATTGAGAGTGGTCTCTATGGTAACCGCATCACATCAGGGACCACATTCATTCTTCAAGGTTTTCCTTCTCCATATTTCTCTGGTGGCTTCTGGGTAACCTGTAATGGTTGGAGCCCTGCCTCACCCTGCCAGGAAGCCACTGCTGATTTAAAGCCTGGCAAAGGAACTTAACAAGACATACTGCTTTCCTCTGGCCTTGTTGCTTATTCTGTGTTGCACTTGGTCCAGGCCTGCAGGGAGCTGTCATTCCTCCTTTATCATTTCCCTTTTTGGCATCCCTCAGGTATTGCTCTCACTCTCTCAGAACGCTTTGACATGCTTTCTCCAGATCTCACTGCTCATTAATATCTTGCAACAATCCCTTCTGAATCCTGGCATTCACTGTTCTTTTTTCCCTCATTCTTCTTGGTTCAGTCATTCACTCATCTCTTCAGAAGTGACACTCAAGTTCTCTGGTCTTCATCTGTGCCAGAGATTTGTGTCAAAGAGACTTATGAAAACTGTTCAGATACCAATTTATGTGTGATAGGACCCCAGGGTGTTCAAGCTGCTGATTGTATTCAGTTCCCAACCATAAAAATCCCATTAATGCCAAACATTTATGTAGTGTTTATTATGCGATCATCATTGCGGTAAGCACCTAACATCTTCATAATACTCCTATGAGCTACTCTTAATGTCCCCATTTTGCAGATGAGGAGACTGAGACACAGAGTTAGGAAACATGTCCTAGGGACTCCAGCTGTTACATGGCAGAATTAGGATTTGAACTCTGGCTCCAACACCCATGTTCTTCACCAGGCAGTGACATTTCTCTCTGTTCCTATGTTACCTGGAATAGCCCATTTCCATAGGGCTAAATTGTACCCATCTACAATGCCAAGGTTAAATGCCACCTGTTTTGTAAAGCCACCCACCTCCCTCCACATTCAAACTATAAGTTCATTTGTTCAGTTAGCAAACATCAAAGTATAGTGGTTATAGTGCCTTCATTCATCCACTCAAGATTTTATCAAGTACCTCTAGTGTTACAGTGTTAGGGGCTAGGGCTACAATGGTGAACAGAGAGCAAGCTGACTCAACTCTCACCCTACTTACTTTTGAAAAAAGAGAAAATAAACCAGAAAATAGTAAAAAAATCGCTTTATGTATTTGTAAAATCTGGCTAGCTGTAAATTCTTTGTGTATCTGTATATCAATGTCTGTGTATATGGATATTTATATTTATCCATTGATAAAATGATTTTTTTCCAATCAATTCCTCCTACTTGCTTATATGATAAGATCTGTCATGAGCTGTCCTCGGACACCGTTCCAGGCTTAACTCATACCAGTTCTTGCCTCCTGTTCTGCACCTACCCTTCCCAAACCCCAGCTCCTAGAAAATGTTTCCCTATTGAAGGCCATCCAGACACGGTGATACTGCCGTGCTTTACTGCATGCTCAGCCTGTATTCTCTGCCTCATTGCTTTTCACTTTCTTTCTCACATTTCAACTTAACCCAGGTTCGTTTCAAACACTAAGACCAGGTTCAAACACCCCCACTCTGTGGACTCTCTCCAGCCATCTCCTTCTCCACTCTCCTATCAGCAAGGGGTCAATCTGGCCTTCCTCTGTGCTGCTCCAGCACTGAGTATACTGTCTGTGACAGTGCCTTGGTGTCTCTTGACAAGGACTAAGGATTCCTTGAAGATAAGGTGCAGGCTTTATTGCTTGTTTTAATCATTGAACCTAGTGCAGTACCTGTCATACACTGGCTATTATTATTAAGCTATTAATAATAATGATGATACTAACCTTTAAAGCATCTGTCTGACATCTGTACCTGACATTCTGCTTAACATTTCATGTTTTCATTGTGTTTTTCTATAGTAAGAATCATATAATATAGACAGTGATACAGATACTATTATTAACTCCAATTTATAGAGGAGAAGCTAAGGTTTAGAGAGTACACAACTCCTGCCTCAGAACAACACCCCCAAACAGCTGAGCCTGACCCAAGCCCACATGGACTTGCTGTGGGGGACAGGAGAGCAGAGTCTGGTGGCTCATGGGTCACCATTGCAGTCACAGTGCCCAGCGTAGCAGCACTGAAGGCACTTGGCCACATCCTGTTAAATGGGGGTGTGAATGATCTGTAACCAGTACACATTAATGCTGGTGAGACATAGTGGAGCACCCATGTGGATTCTGGAGGGAGGAAGGGATCTAGGGGTGCTGTCATACCACTGTGTAGATTTACATGTACATGTACACACACACACACACACCCCAACCCATGTCTGGACATGGAAAAGGAAACAAAGGAAGGAGTCTATGAAGCTTTGATAAGATGACCATTGGCTACAAAGTGTACGTTTTATGTTTTGTACAAGTGGGTTTGGGGTTAAAGGAGCTCCTGATAGATCCAGCACTGACTTTAGACCAGAAGGGTCTGAATTTGGAGTCAGCAAAACCTGTTTCAATCCCAGCCATGTTAAACTTCCCTCTGAAGTTCAACATACAGATTAATGCATGTTTCTAGAATCAGATGACCTGAATTTAAATAACTTAGCCCTATGTTTACTGTATGATCTTTGGAATGAGACTTCTCAGGATCTCATTTTTCCCACCTACAAAATGGGCATATTAATGACATTTGCCTCATAAAGTTGATGTGAGAATTAAATAATTCAATTCACTTGAAACTTATGAAACAGTACCTGGCAACTGGGAAGCTATTATTAGCTCTTAGATAGTTATACCTATTTTAGACAGGGATGTAGTGCGAATGACGGGATTCTGAAGGGTGAGACCCAGGATTGGAACAACATCCCTGTTGGTTAGAGTTGCGGACCAGCCAAGATTCATGGACTATGAAGGATACAAAATATGTGCAAGGCTTTGTTCTCCAGGCCAAGAAGGCGCAGACAGCCGCGAGTGAGCAGAAAATATGCCTTAGAAAAAAAAAAAAAAAAGAAAATATGCCTTAGGCTCTGGGTCTGGGTTAGTGTTAATGGGTAGTGAGCAGGCAGAATAGACAGCGTGATCTCACCCTCTGACACTCCAGGCAGAGCCCTGAGGCCCTCCCCTGTGAGTCTGTTCCTCATTTTCTAGAAAATTCAAATCAAACATTAGTGTACACCTTGTAAGGCCATGCAAAATCAGAGAAAGATGAAATTGTTTTTAGAAAGAGGTTTTCTGGCAACAAAAAAGGGAAGACATGACAAAAGTCAAAATGTGAAAAGTGATGAGATGAAAAGAGAGGTCCTAGAATGGAGGACAAACAAGGACACGTAAAACACAGACTGGCAGATGCACATACACGCATATTTCACATACATGCTGCTGTCATCACCAAACCCTAGATCTGGTAGACAGACCCTACCCTTTCTATCCCTCTAATAGTGATGAGGAGGTGAGGGCCTGGGAGGGATAATGCTCCTCCAAGGAGGTGGGGTATTCCATTCACATAGAACCCCACAGCTGGCACTTCATAGGTGACTTACAGCTATGTTTGTAATATTGGCTGCCATCGATTGGATGACTTAGTATTTGCAGTTGTCACATTAAATGCTTTCCAAATATTATGATATCCCACTTTATAATTTTTAAGTCCTTTTCCTATGACTAAGTCTTTGTCTTCATTAGGATCACCCTTTCACAGATGAGAAGATTGAGACCTGGCAGGATGAGGGTTTGCCTTGGTAAATTGGAATGGTGACTAAGTGTGGTTTTGTCTCCAAATCTTGTGTTCTTTGTCCTTACCCTAGACATTGCAGATTAGAGAGTGCATCCAAATCATTCACTCATGAACACATTTACTGAATATGTGCAGGTGCCTAACGTAGTGTTGGCCCAGTCTCTGCTTCATGCTCAATGACTCTGCTCTAACCTGCACTTTTATAGCCATGGCATGAATTCATTTTCACTCCAGCCATGTGATGGAGGGACTCTTACCCATGTCACAGAGGAGAAAACAGAGTCCAGAAATGTTGAGTGAATTTCCCAAGGTCCTATAGTCCAAAGGAGCCAGACTTAGATTAAAACACAAGTCCGTGTCACATCTAAACTCTTGTTTTTTCCATCAAATCATGGGGTTCCCTCCTACAAAACAACATCTTAGCTGGGTCCAGTGTACTCCCATACACTGAACCCAGAGTTCTTTTGAGTCCCAAGTACAGTGTAGACTTGAGGTTGAAGTTGTGTCAACCATCCTAGGAAGGGCCAGAGTTTTCAATGACAAGCACTAGGCATAGCCATAGGTGTAGGGTAACATTTACTGAGTGCCTCCTGTATGCACCTGGCATTGGACATGCCACTTACACACAGTATTACATTTCATGCTCATCTCAAGTACGCAAATAGGTAGTACTGCCTCATTTACAGAAGAGGAAACTGGCTCAGAGAAGACAGTTCCTTTCCCAAAGTCATCCAGCCTGCCTGGCCCCAGAGCACTTCTGCCTCCTCAGACAGCCTCCAGGAGGGGGTTTGAATGGTGCAGAGCATTGTCTTGGAAGACTTCACAAAGAAAATGAAGGCTGAATCACACCTTGGATCACTTATCATGCAGCCAAGATTAGTATTCTGAGAGCCAATGACCGTGTTATTATCATTATGATTAGGTTTCCACGTACTGCTCAAATCAGATGTGTAAATATAATCAAAAACATTTCTCTTTGCATGCAGACTTCCAGCAGGTTCCACCCGGCATCCTAGTTCTGAGGAAAGATAATAAATTAGCTCTAATTAGCTTTCCCACACTGCAGCAAATTTCTGCTGTCACCACTTTGCAAACAGGAGAGACAAGGGCTCTTTTGGCCTTCCCTATGGAAAGTGGCCCATGGGGCTGTGGAGGTAGCAGGTCTGACAGGTGGCTTTTGGGTGTGTATTACCTCGTAGACAAGCTCCTTATACCCCCTGGCCTGGCCTTCAGTTTTTCCATTTGGAAAGGAGGATCTCAGAATGGATTCTTTCTTCTCTTACACACTTAAGAGTCCAGGATTCTACTGCCTGAGAAAAATTCCCAGCATGAAGTGTCAACTTCACTGTGAATGCACTAGGGCTATTGAGTGTCCACTCTTTGTCAGGCATTGGCCTAGGCACTGGAGATACAAAGATGAGTTGGAACTGGTCTCTATCTTTAGGGAACTTTCATCCTACCAGAGAGGGTAATAACAGTTACTTTTTATGTGCCAAGGACTTGGCAATGCCCATCAAATATCTTGCCTCATTTAATCCCTGCAAGAGACCTTTAAGGTGGTATTGTTGTCTGCATTTTATAGAGGGAGAAATGGTCTCAGAGGTTAAGCCACTTTTACACAGTTTTACTACTGATAAATGATGGAACTATAATTTCAATTCAGAGTCTGATCTTTTAGCACAAGATTACACTGTCTCACCCAGAAAGGGTTGGATGCCATAAAAGAAACCAGGGAAGCAGGTGAGAAGGAGGGCATGGGATGAGACGTATCCATGTGGCTGACCAATTAGACCAGAATCTTGGGAAAGATAGGGTGTTAATATATCAAGATGGAAGGGGGAAAATATTTTCAGTGGGGGAATCAAGATATGGAGAAGGAAAGAAAGACACTGGCCATGGACAAAGAAGAGTATGTTGTGCCAAAGGAACCTAATGGAACGTAATTGAGTGCCTACTATGTATTAGGCACAGTTACAGCCTCTGGGAAAAATAGTTAATACTTTAGTGCAGCAGTTCTCAACAAGGGTGATTTTGCCCTCCAGGAAACATTTGGCAATGTTTGGCTATGGTTTTGGTTATGATGACTGGGACGGTGCTACTGGCATCTAGTGAGTAGAAGCCAGGGGTGCTACAAAATATCCTACAATGTACAGGGCAGTCCATCATGACAAATGTCATCTAGCCCAAAATGTGAATTGTTCTAGTACAATGACAAGCTGTGGCCAGCTCATGCAGAAGCATGCAGGCATGCAGGCTGAAGAATTTGCCCATGATTTTCCAAATCCCGTGGCCTCAGACATCCAAATTATAATAGCAGAAAGGACCAGAACAGAACATTTTTGTTGCAAATGACCTCCCAGCACAGAAGAAATCAGTCCAGTTGCCTCAGCTATTTTATTACAGGCCTAGTCTGACCTGAAAATGCAATTCTACTACCTCTGGTTTCAGAACCACTGAGGGCTTATGAGAATATACGACCCACCAAGAGGGAATGTCAGATGGCTTCTTCCTTCTTAATCAAATTAAGTAAATAGTGTCTTTGCAGAAACTGCACTGCTGAGGAATTTATTACAAATTACTTAATCACATGGTTCTCCCATGAAAAGGAAATAGACTAAACCGTGTCTCACCCTCTTCACCCTGAACATTTCAAAGTACAGGAGCTGGACCAGAGCCTATTTATTAAGTTAAGCAATATTTGCTGGCTCTAGCTTGTGAACATCAATGTGGTGTAACTTAACCGCCTTTTAAAATGAAAGTCTACTTTTCATGATTATCGCAAGCACCCCCAGTGCTATTTAATACTGATCCAGAGGAAATCAGGGATTCAGTGGCAGCTTTGAGGATGCTTCGGATGCCAGTGCAAGGAAGACAAGGTTCGGTGGGGCACCTTGAGGCCAGTGTTTCAGGAAGGGCCCCTAGATTTGCGATTGACATGCCCATGGGCAAGAACTTCACGTTTCCCTATGTGACCTTGGGTGGGTTGTTTGCTGCAACTTTCTGAACCCATCTCTTCACGGACAAAAACAGACATGTGCCTCCTAATTGTCATTGGGATAATCTTGGTAAGGCAATGGGCATAAAGTAGCACACAGAGCAAGCCCTCACTAAATCGTGGCTGAGGATGTGGGGTGATTTTCCTGCCTAGATCTGGCTGCAGAGATGTGGCATAAAGCAAACAAGACAAGCATCTGCTATTGAGGTTTAGTTACTTTTCATGTCAAGAGCACAAGAGAAGGGAGATTACTTGGAGATGAGAAACTTCTTAGCAATTCATGCAGTTCGGGCCAAGTCTCTGGGTTCAGACAGAGGCTGGCAGGTAAGCACTCCGCCAGGTTGGAGGGACTCAGAGGGAAAATCAATTCAAAGGGCCTTTCAGGGAACGAGGGGTGGCAAATGCCCAGGGTTAATCCCGATGGGAGACCTGTATTTCCATAACAGGCGAGGCCTTCCCTTTAACCTATTGGCACCTCGAGTTGGAGTTTTCCGGGGTGAAGTCCATTACTGGCAATGGGTGTGCCTCGCATGATTAATGACCTCGGTTACGGTCCGGTTAGCAGCAGAGAGCTCCATCCATCTCACTTCATGGAAGCTTCACACGCCATTTATTGTCTGCAGCCAGGATGTGTTCCTTTGCAATTAGGTAAATGCCTTCTTTGGAAGTAGACGTGGTAATTCCTCCATTAGTGCCCCCATTCTCAGGCCCCTCACAGGAAGGGAAGGCAAAGGCTGGGGAGAGTCCAAGGGAGACAGACACAGTGACAGCGTCAGGTGTGATTTCATGTCCTCAAGTGAGTGTGGCCAGGAGCTATCATCAGCTCTCAGCTACCTCCTTTCAAGGGGACATTTAACCCAGGGCATCCATACACACCACAGCTTTAAAATCCATCCCAGGGAAAGAGGGCCAGGCCCAGCATGTCAAATGGAGCCTATGCTTGTTTTCTGTTATAACAAGAAACCCTTACAACACATCGTTTCATGTAATGGCTCTCATTTATGGGGTGCTACCCCTGTCTCAGTGCTGTGCTCAAAGAAAGAGATGAATATAGTACAGATAGCTGTGAAGTAAAATAACAGCCCAGATCACATGTGGGGGCCTTCAGGCCATTTGCCCTGACTGGCCCCCTGAATACAAGTGGCCAGACAGATCTGGTGGATCTGAGCCCCTTCCTCAGATAATCATCCCTCTAACTCCCCACAACTTCAATAATCCCAGTCTCCATTTCCTCGGCTGGAAAATGAGAACAACACTAATGCCTCATTGGGTGGTTGTGAGGATGAAAACTCTCAGTCAAGATCATGGGGCAGAGGGGAGACTCAGAAAGTGGGAGAAGTTGTTATTGTCATCAGTTTTCCATTATGGAAAGTCTTATTTCAGACCCTTGCCCTTACCCTGGTTTCTTGTTAATAGTCACTATACTTTCTCTAAAGAGGAGTCTTCTTCCTTAGTCCCCAGGGGACTCCCTCTTGCTCATTCAAGCTTCTACTCTATTTGCTCCTTAGAGGGCCTGTATATACCAGCAACCTCACATAGTCCTCTGCACCACACCCTCCTGCTCAGCTTTACTTTCTCATCCCAGCAACATCACCTCTTGACATCACAGTCTTTCATTTATGTCTTGATGTTCCACAACCCATTCCGCCAGAATGTGAGCTCTGTGAAAGCAGGCATCTTGTCTCTTGTTTACAGTCGTATCTCCAGCATCTAGAATGGCATTTGGCATCGAGTAGGAGTCCAACACACATTTGATGAATACGAGAAGAATAAGTGATGGTTTTATCAGACGCGTACTATGTTCCTGGTCCTAGCCTTACTTCAGATCTTACTGCTGCTTTCTCCCTCTGTGGTGCCCTAGTGAATCATTTAGCAGTCCAAAGCCTGTGAACACATTTTCTTCTTTTTCTCAACTCTAAAAGCTGCCCCCAGCTCTCGAGTTTCTAAGTGCATCCAGAGAAATTCTGCGCCAGAGACAAAAAATCTGTAGTATTTCCAGAAGAGTGAAGGGTTCTGTCCACAATGCCCAGTTGTTCCCTGTGTCAGTCACTGCCGCCTCTGCAGAGTAAGCAGGCTTCCACACCACCCATGTTATCAAAGCCTGCAGATGAGAAAGACTAGACTGGAAGGGCCATCCAGAAGGCTCGACTGGTCTACAGGACCATCTGCTATATGAGGACATGCTTCCACCACGAATTTTAATAGTTTTATTGAAACCTAATTGATGTATAATAAAATACATATTTAAAGTGTACAGTTTTGGGGCCTCCCCTGGTGGCGCAGTGGTTGAGTGCTGGGCTGCGAAGCTGCCTGCAGCCTCTGCAGCGCTGGTTCAATCCCCAGCCACCGGCGAGGGTCCCACATTGCGCGCAGACCTCTCCTGCCCGCCCGCTGCTCCCCTCAGCAGTGTACTTCGGTCCTTCTGCCTGCTCTGCTCCCCACTCTGGCTCTGGTGAATTCTCTCACCCTCCCGCACTTCTGACTGTACCCAGTGCTTGTATAAATAAGTAAATAAATCTTTAAAAAATAATAATTAAGTGTACAGTTTTGAGATAGGCATATACCCTTGAAACATCACCACAATTAAGATAATAAACGTTTCCATCATACCCCTATGCTTCTTTATAATTTAACTCCCCTCATTGCACATACCTCTTACACACACATATGTGTACAAACATGTACACACATGGCACTCAGGTCCAGGCAATGCAGACTTGCTTTCTGTCCCTCCAGCTACTTTGCTTTTTCTAGTATTTTATATAAATGAAATCTTAAAGTATATATCTTTGGATTTTTCTCTCATCATCATTAATTTGACATTCATCCATGTTGTCAAGTATAGCAATGGTTTGCTACTTTTCATTGCTGACCATTATTCCATTTTATGGCTATGCCAACAATTATTTTATCTGTTCACCTATTGGACATTTGGGTAGTTTTGAATTTTTGGCTGTCACTACTAAATTTGCTGTGAGAATTTGTATGCAATTCTTGATGTAATTATGTGTTTGCATGCAAATCTTTGTGTATGGATATGATTTCATTTTCCTTGAGAAAATATCTAGAAGTGGGACTGTTGGTTTGTATAATTGTTATATATTTCACCTTTAAAGAAATTGCCAAGCACTTTTCCAAAACGGTCCTACCAGCAGTGTATAAACTGTTCCAGTTGGTCCTTTTTCCTTGTCAATCCTTGGTATGGACAGTTTGTTCAATCTTAGACTGATACGGTCTAGTGCTTATACTTAATCTGTTTTTAACTTACAACTCCCTAAAAGTGAATCTTTCCCAGTCTCTTTCCAAGTTTTTGTTATCTTTGTCTTTCTTTGGTGGAATAGCCATTTTTACACAGTTACCTTATTTGTGAGTTGTAAGAATTTCTATATTCCAAATGCAGGTTCTTTGTCAGATAAATATTTTGCAAAAATTTCCTTCCAGTCTGTGACCTGCCATTTCAATTTCCTTTCCAAGTGAAGCAGTAGTATTACCTCCCCATCCATATTCCAAGAAATTAGCACATAGCAATCTTAGACACTGAGCATGTTTAATAAATTTAGTTTCATGAATAAGACAAGCTCTAACTTTAAATACTTGAAACCAAGCACACGAAAGATAACTTTTTTCCCTCAGTTTGCCAATCTGTAAAATCAAGGTAATATTATCTCATTCAAGGGATTATTGTCAGAATTAAGTGAGTACATATGAATAGATCTCTTAGACTGATACTAGACATAAAGTACGAGTTTGATAAACATCAGTATTGTTATGGTTTGTAAACTTAGGGAGCAGAAGTGGTGCCACAGGACTAAAACCATAAGGAAGCAGACTGTCTCAATTTATTGGATTATTTTCCATTGCTGTCCAACAAATGGAATAAAATGAAATAGACTGCCACTAAGCTGCTGCGTTCCTCATCACTGGGTGCATTTCAGCAGAGAGAGAATAGCTACTTGATCATACTCTAGAAGAGATGACTGCTACCTTGAGAAAAATACTGAACTCTTTGTGTCTCTTCTATTCTAAAAAAAGTGTTTTTTTCCTGATAATAGATAATAATAACAACTATAATAGTAATAATAGCAACAATGACATGTTGTTATTGCTTATATATTATCGTATGTAATACAGTATAATAACACATGATATATCTAATAAATAGCATATATAATATAAAATAAGTTATTATCAAGGATATGCTATTATGCTAAGCACATAAAGGCAGTATATTATTGAATCATCACAACAACCAGCTAAGGTAAAATCGGTTATCATCTCTATTTGATAGATGAGAAAAATGATCTGCAAAGTTGTAGATAACTTGCCCAATAATGCACACCTTGGAGCAGGGCTTTGAATACAGATATATTTGATGTAAGTAGATGCTTGCAACCCAGGTGGTGACTGGGCTGTTTCCCTTTGCTTAGTTGTAGCCTGGGAAGAAGAGCTGCTGAGACAAATAATTCCCCACCACCTGTGTCTCCAGCCCCACCTTAGTATGTCTCTGAGTCAGTGGGAATAAGTATTGTGGGTTGCTCTTCTGCTACCTCAGCAGGTTACCCCATGACAGGGCCAAAGGTCAGGGAAGCCAGGCCTGGGGTCAGCCACCCAACTTGCTCTCCACCAGCACTGCCAGCCTGGTCTCAGCTTCCTAGGGGAATGGTTTTCACCATCTCCATCTCCAATTGGAACAGGCCTCCCCCATGCTTTTCCTTCTGGCATATGGAGTGTTTATTTGTTTTGAAAGTCCTCAGAAGTGCCAGCTTTCTCATCACACGGCAGTAGGGAATGTCCCCATTTGGTGCCTGTCCATCCAGCACACAATATTTATGCTGTCATTGCAAAGCTGTTGGACCCTTGGATCCTAATCATCCATAGATACTTCTGTAGCTTTTAAAAACCAAGCCCAGTCTTCTGAAAACAAGAGCCTGCCTCCCCCCCATCCTGATTACCAGCTCTTTTTGGCAAGATAACCATGACGATATTCACCAGATTGTGCCAAAGCAACGTTACCTAGCAACCAGCAGGAGCGCCTGGAGTGTGTTTGAAACATGGTGTGCAGTTCTTTAGGCATCTTGGATATAATGGAGAAGAAAAGTGTGCCTGGAGGAAGCCTGGAGAGAATGGTTCTGCTGTCCCATAGGCCCTTGAGCAACCCTGATTCTATGGCTCCTGTGACCTTGGCCAAGTTATATGAGCTCTCTGGGCTCCAGTTTCCTAACCTTGAAAATGAAGAACAGTAACAACACCTAATTCATGCTGATGTTGGCAACATAAGAGTGTAATAAAATTCAGGGGACAATATTCTATTTTTTAATTTAATTTTATTTTATATATTTTTACATAATTTTTCTTTTTTGCACAATGTATACATTTTCATCTTGGTTATAGTCCTCATTCAATTCCCACCCCCATTTTTTTTATCCTACTCCCTTTTCTCTGACCCCCCCCATACTGTACTGAGTAGGTAATTCAGCAAATATTAGTTCCCTTCAAGTTACATTTTGTTTTCTGTCCTAACTTTCATAAAAGCACAAATCCAAACATCTGAAGGCCAGGCTCTAGTTATACGTATCCTAAATTCACTGTTTCCTTAAAGACATCTCTTAACCTCTGCCCAATCAGATTTACAGGGATACTAGGTGTGTTTTGGAGCCCACCTCAAAGTACAGAGAGTAAAAAAAATCTCTGAAGACCAGAATATAAATGCAATAGGTGAACTAGATCTGTTGCTGTTCTTATTTCTAGTTAAGGGGAGATTAACAACACTGTGGGGCTAGTGAGCTTTGTCTAATAGTGTTTATTTTTATGCAGGCAATATTCATACTGGTGAAACAGATACTGTAAATCAAATTGAAGCCCATCCAGCCACCCATGTTCCTTATATGTTTCCACTTTAATCTCTATGTTCATCTCAGGAAATATGTTCCATGTCTAATACTGAGAAAGACCACTGCCAGGGCAACTTAAAGGGTTCTAGGGGATGCAGTTATATTCGTTAGGTTGAATAGACAAGAGCAGAATGATCCAAAATGCATGTGCATTATATAGCATCATGTGAAATGCTCAGATTTCAAAGCAAACTAGACATTGGCTCAAGTCCTCTGGGCCCACCACTTTGTATCTCTGACAACATGCATAAATCACTTATCTAAATGTGCCTCAGTTTTCTCATCTGTAAAATGGCACAGTACAATTTGCAGAAATGTTTTAAGGATAAGGGCAATATTATAAAGTGTCTATTAAGGTGCCTGGCACATAGAATATCCTCTATATATGATATGAAGTGAATACAACATTATATATATATATATATATATATATATATATATATATATATATATACATATATAGTAAAAACTCTAATTGGGAAGTAAAGCAGAGAGCCAAAGAGGGAAATGTTTGGTGTGAGCAGCAAATATGAACCATTAATAGGAAGTAAATGTGAAGGATGTTGAAGCAGCAAGGCTCAACAAGGAGAAGTCACATTCAACTTGAGCATGAAGTGAAGCCCAAAGGTGAGACACCAGAGTAGTTAAGTCCAGCATCTTCAGGCTCTCCTGTAGCTGGAGAAGAACTCAGACCTCAAGGCCCAGCTGTGGGAGCTGAGATGTTATCAGCA